TCTGAATTGGAGCGCAGTCTCGTGGGCCTGAGCCTTCAACCTGTGGGATCGGTTCCTGTCTCTGGGTAGACAGTGTCAGAATTGAGTGGAATTGTGGGATGCCCAGCTGGTGTCCAAGAATGCAGTTCTCCACAATGGAATTGGGTACAGACTCTTATCTAGACAGGAGCATCCTGGAGTAAAAGTTGACTGGTCATTTAGGTGCTTTAGACTTAGTCTACATCTTAGGAGAGAAGTGTGGGCTGGAGGTTTAGATTTGGTTATTAGAGGTGGTAGTTCATCCAAGGAGAGCACAGAGACCAGGTTGTTGATCAGAAAACCAGTTATAAAAGTTACAAAATCCAGGAAATAATAAAAGATTTCGGAGCCTAGGTAAACGGGGATATTGAAGTCTGGAAAGAGATTGGAGCGAGATTATTAATAAATAGCCGGCATTGATTGGTCTCTGACACTATGTCAGGCTTTGTGCTGAGCATTACTGTGGATTTATTTATCTCATTTACTCCTCACAACCCAGTGGTAGGGGACTGGTATCCATTTTGCAGAGAAAGCTTAGAGAGGTAAAATCACATCCCCAAAGTCTCACGTCTAATGACTGTTGATGGTCCATATTTTAATCCCAGAAACAACCAATACACCATACTCCATTCACTTATGAAGGGTCTTACCAAACTCAGGAGTTTGGATTTTATCGTGTAGGCAGCAGGTTTCCTACACCAAGCAGTGTTTTGCTTTGTTTTTTGTTTTTTCAATCAGTAATACATTCACATAACTCAAAATTTTAAAAAAATATTAGAAAGATTGCAATGAGGGGCGCCTGGGTGGCTCAGTTGTCAAGCGTCTGCCTTTGGCTCAGGTCATGATCCCGGGGTCCTGGGATCGAGCTCCGCATCAGGCTCCCTGCTCAGTGGGAAGCCTGCTTCTCCCTCTCCCACTCCCTCTGCTTGTGTTCCCTCTCTCGCTGTGTCTCTGTCAAATAAATAAATAAAATCTTAAAAAAAAGTAAAAAAAAAAATAAAAACAATATTCAACACACAGAATTTTGATTAAACAAGGCATTTAAAATAATTCCTGGGGCGCCTGGGTGGCTCAGTCATTAAGTGTCTGCCTTCAGATCAGGTCATGATCCCAGGGTCCTGGGATCGAGCCCCGCATCGGGCTCCCTGCTCTGCAGGAAGCCTGCTTCCCCCTCTCCCACTCCCTCTGCTGTGTTCCCTCTCTCTCTTGCTGTGTCTCTCTCTGTCAAATAAATAAATAAAATCTTTAAAAAAAAAAAAAGATTGCAATGAGAAGTTTTCCTTTCATGCCTCTGTTCCTTCTCCTTCTTCCCAGTGGTCATCTCTATTGGTAATTTCTTTATGTCCTTTCTGTATGAAATAGGAATATATATTTTTATTTAACTGCCATTATATGAAATGTCACACTGTACATACTTCTGCATCTTATTCTTTTACCTGATACATCTTTTACCTAACAGATCTTGGAAATCTATTATCACATAAAGAGCTTCTTCATTCTTTTGTTGTGTCACTAGCTGCGAAGTGCTGCGTCTTATGGATCTACCCTAATTCATTTAACCAGACCTTTAGTCCACATACACGTTCCAATCCTTTTTTTACTACCAGTGTTGCCCAGAATTAACACAAACAGATGTTACTTCACACATGATCAAATATATCCAGAAGTGAAAGCACTGGGTCAAAGGGCACAGGTCAAAGGTTACGTTCCTGGTAGTGATGCATGAGAAGGTCTCTTTTCCGCCAGTGGCACCAACGGCATGTTTCCCAACTTTGGCTTTTGTCTGTTTCACGTGTAGCAGCTTTATATTTAAGAAGCATTTGTATTTTCTTTTACCTGTCTTTGTGTATCCTTTGTTCATTTTCAGCTCTGCCCTGGTCTTCTCAGTGTATAGGAGTTCATACACAGGGAAAATAGTCCTTTGTGATAGAAATATTTTTTCCCAGTTCTTTAATTTCTTTTGATTTTGCTTATGGTAATTTTTTTGCCTTTATAGACATTTTTGTTTGTTTTTAAACTCTTTTTTTTTTTTTAAAGATTTTATTTATTTGACAGAGAAAGACACAGCGAGAGAGGGAACACAAGCAGGGGCAGTGGGAGAGGGAGAAGCAGGCTTCCTGCCGATCAGGGAGCCCCATGTGGGACTTGATCCCAGGACCCTGGGATCATGACCTGAGCTGAAGGCAGACGCTTAACGACTGAGCCACCCAGGCGCCCACATTTTTGTTTGTTTTTAATGTAATCAGTCCATTTAGAGATTTTCTGATTGTGAATCATAGCCTTGCTTACTCGAAGATTATGGAAGAATTCCGCCTTTTTTATTTTAAGTACTTTTATAGTTTTATTTTTCACGTTTAAGTTTTTGACATAGTTTTAGAATTTATCCTAGTATGTGGAATGAAGTATGGCTCCAGCTGGTTGGGGTTTTTTTTCCACTGAAATAAATTTTCGTTTCTATGTATTTTCATTTCTGGATTTTCTGTTCTCCTGTCTGTTCATGAGTTGATCTGTTTTGATACCTGGTAAGATTAGTCTCCTCTCTTTGCTATTTAAGAGTTTGCTAGCAGTTTTTTCTTTTTCCTTATAACCTTAAAAATCATCCTTTCCAGGGGCACCTGGGTGGCTCAGTCAGTTAAGTGTCTGCCTTCAGCTCAGGTCCTGGGATCGAGCTCCATGTTGGGCTCCCTGCTCAGTGGAGAGTCGCTTCTTCCTCTCCCCACCCCTTGGCTCATGCTCTCTCTCTCTCTCGCTTGCTCTCTCTCTCTCTCAAGTAAATAAAATCTTAAAAAAAAATCCGGGGTGCCTGGGTGGCTGTAGGTTAAGCATCTGCCCTCGGCTCAGGTCATGATCTCAGGGTCCTGGGATCGAGCCCTGCATCAGGCTCTCTGCTCAGCAGGGAGTCTGCTTCTCTGTCTCACTCTCCCTCTGTGCTCTCTCTCTCTTTCTCAAATAAATAAAATCTTTTTAAAAAAATCTTACCCTTTACAAGATCTGTTGGTATTTCTGATGGGATGAAGTTAAATTTATAAGTTTATATTTTTATAGTTATAAACATTATATATGTGGTATATTGTTCCATCAGTTCAAATATTCTTTACTTAGAAACGTTTTTAAGGTAGAAAAATGATAACATCAGCTTTGCGGGTGGGTGTGGAGTGTGTGCTGTACCAGGGGTTGGAAACACTAAGGCTTGAGGGCTGCTCGTCTCTTCAGGGACACACGTGCATGAGAACCGAACAGTCATTAAAGGAGTATGTGAGGGGTTTACAGGCAAGAAATCGGCTCATTTCATTTGATGGCTGTATTTAATAGGGATGGAGCGTCAAGAAGGCATTACTTACCTTTTTAGATCGTTTCGTTTTTTACACTTTTTATTTTGAGATAATTTGGAATTTATATAAAAGTTGCAGAGATGGTCCAGAGTCCCCCAGATTCCTTAATTATTAACACTCTCAGACCATTTGAGAATAACGTGCGACACGAGTGCTCCTTACACCAGCGTGTGAAGACTTCGGTACTCCCTAACCACCAGGACCCTCTCCTGCACGACTGCATCCAGTCATCGACAGTGAGGGATGCGCGCTGATGCAGCGCCGGCATCTGACCCACGGACCCCGTCCACGTTTTGCCACTTGTTCCTGTAATGCCCTGTAGAAGTCCAGAACTCAGTCTAGGATCACACGTTGTGTTCATTGTCATGTCATTTTAGCCTCTGTCCTTCTGGAACAATTCCTCACTCTCCTTATTTTCTTGTGACCTTGACATTTGGTAAGAGTGCAGGTCAGTTACTTTAAAGAGCATCTCTTTATTTGAGTGTTTCCGATATTTCCTCATGATTTAAAAATGCTGGCAGGAATACCAGAGAAGTGCTCTTGTGCTTTTCTCGGTACGTCCTGTCAGAAGACACACGATGGAGATTTGTTGCTGTGTCCCGTTACTGGTGATACTAGCTTGTATCCCTCGATTAAGATGGTAGGTCTCTGTAAGGTTTCTCCAGTGTCCACTTAATAAGTATTTTATTCATGGAGTACTTTGGAGTGTATCACTATGAACTCTCAGACTCTTAATTTACTCAGTTACGATTTGCTGTTATTTATTTTGATGCTCAAACTGCCCCAGATTTGACCGGCGGAAACTCCTACGCACTGTCTCATGAGTCCTTCGGAATGTCCCCATCATTCGCTCAGTGCTTCCTTACCCTGGCATAGCGGTCAGATGCGGGCCCATCTTGTCCTTTCTTTGTCAGCCCTAGAGTCACCTGTTTGTCCACGGAGCCCTGGGTCCCTTTAATACAGTAGTAAAATGATATTTAGAAACTGATGTGTGTGTGCTAGGTGTTTACTGCCATTGCTGCCTGGTCTCCATTGTTTCTAGGCTCTCTTGAGGGACAGAGGGAGGAAAGCTGTACACACACACAAGCATCTGTATCTTTTTCTAGATCTCCCTTCTGACCAATCGCTCCAGTCCAGTTCTAATTCAACACCACAAGATTTATTCTGGCTTTCTCCCTTTCTACGAGTTAACCTCCCTTCTCCATCTGTGAAAAACTTTGTTCCCATTATCCTCAGTGTATTTATTTATCTGCTTGACACCCCACCCCCCAGTACCCACACTCCTGGCCCAGAGCCTGTCCCTGGACAGGCCCACTCTCCCTCCCCCAGGCACTCTGGCCAAAGTGTCGGCTCTGACAGAAGAGGAGAGGGCATGACTTTACTTAGACTTGACTCCTGGGAGAGGGACTGGGTAGCAGGGCCCCGAGGGCAAGGAGACTTTGATACACATCCTTTCCTGCCCTTTGACTTTTTTTTCCCACTGTGTGCTTTTTTTTTATGACCTGTATAGAAAATAAATGTTTAAATATCATTCAGGATCATTATTTTCACAGGATCTGTTCACTTAGCTGCTCCCTTCTACATCGTTAGGGAGAATTCGGAGTCTTCCTTTTTTTCCTTAAGTGTATTTGGCTCCTTTCTCTCCCGTAGGAAATAACACTTGTTTCTATGGGAAGTGTTATTACTGCCGAGAAACAGAGCCGGCTTGTGCTGATGGAGACACGATGGAGGGATCTGTCACACTTTGGCTTCCAGATGTGTGGCCTCTGCAGAAACACCGACACCCATGGGGCAGGACTTACCGCGAGGGCAAACTGGCCAGGTGAGTCTCCCGTGAGCCCCCACTTCGTTCTGTCCACGGAGGTGGGGCTGAGGGCAAACCTGCCAGGCAGGGACGCCTCTTCTCTGTGTTTTCAACAGGGCCAGCTACAGGGGCGCCTGGGTGGCTCCGTTGGTTATGCATCCGACTCTGGGTTTCGGCTCAGGTGGTGATCTCAGGGTCGTGAGATGGAGCCCCGTGTAGGGCTGCGCGCTGGGCGCAGAGCCTGCTGGGGATTCTGTCTCTCCTTCTGCCCCCGCCCTGCGCTTGCGTTCTCTCTCTCTCTCTCAGAACAAAACAGTGCCAGGTACAGGGCTGGCACCCAGTAACCCTGGTGGTGCTCTTTGCCTCCAGGTGGGAGTACGACGAGAGCTACTGTGATGCTGTGAAGAAAACATCCCCCTATGACTCAGGCCCCCGCCTCTTGGACATCATTGACACCGCCATCTTTGATTACCTGATCGGCAATGCTGACCGCCATCACTACGAGAGTTTTCAAGATGACGAAGGCGCCAGTATGCTCATCCTTCTTGATAATGCCAAAAGGTAGGACCACAGGACCATCCTCATCAGTTAGGGCCTGGTCAGGGTCTTTGCTTTTGGCACCCATCCTTCCATCCTGCTCAGGGCTCGTACTCCTTCTGCCCTCAGGGTTTTGAGGACTTTAAAAAATGGAGAAGTGGGTTTTTTTCCAAGGAGGCCAAGACTATGATTCTCAACACAGACAGCTGGACGCCAAGGTCTTTGATGTATCGCTACCTATATCATTCTTCCTTGACTGTGATGTCTAGAATCTTGAGAGATACATATTTAATAGAACATGAAATTTAGGGGTGCCTGGGTGGCTCAATCATTAAGGATCTGCCTTCGACTCAGGTCATGATCCCGGGGTCCTGGGATCAAGCCCCGGATCGGGCTCCCTGTTCAGTGGGGAGCCTGCTTCTCCCTCTCCTGCTCCCCCTGCTTGTGTTCCTTCTCTCGCTGTGTCTCTGTCAAATAAATAAATAAAATCTAAAAAAAAGAAAAAAAAACATGAAATTTAATTCCTGTTAAATTGATGGTGTCCAAAGGCTCATGCAGTTTAAAAAATTAATTTGTTTGATAGGATGTTTTGCTATATTTATGGCAGTCTAGACCCAGACTTTTTGTGATCATGAGAAGAGTAGTTCCTTTTGATATATAAAAACAAGTTACTTTTGTCTTGATTAAGACAGTATTATTTATTTTGAATAAATGGATGGTCCTTAATTTTTTTAGGGGTGGGCTCTTTGAAGAGCATATAATGTTTTCAGTTTGCCCTGTGCCTACTCTGTGGTGCCTGATTCAGTACCGTACTTTTAGTGACATTTAATAAGTGTTTGCTAAATAGACTACTTCCTTGGAGCCCAGAATTGTCCAGGCTCTAGGTCACTATCACTAACATTGGTTGCTGAGAATAACCTGAGACGGGGCTCCTCAGCGAATAATGGCCGAGTGGCACTTGCAGGTGGCACCCCTGTATTACCCCGAGCAAGGGCCTGACGCCTGCAGAAAGCGGGCGCCGGCACACACAGCAGAGCTGGTAGGGGCCAGTGCTACGTGTGTTCCTGAAAACCTGTACTGTGACTTACACAAATGATCTTTTTGTGTGTGTTTAATGAGTGTATGCACTGTGGAAGTACACATGGAAATAGTCTTTGCCGTTTACTATTGGAGGGCTGCACTGTGCTCAGGGCTCCCAGACCTTCCAGCTATCACGGTGAGCTTCCAGGAGAAGAATAGAAAGTTGAGAGTTTTCCCAGAACCGGTTCTCCTCGTGTAACTCTGAATTACTGCTAAGGTCATTTTTACAGATGCTTTGAATTACTGTTTTCTCAGCTTCCGTGAGCCGTTTGTCCAGTTTGAATCTGGCCATATACTTGTAGGGGTAGGATAATCCTGCTCTTTTCTCATGGGTGATTTCGAGGTAGAAAACTTGTTACAAGTGACGACTATCTGTGTGTTAGTGGGAACCATGTGGATAGCCTTTATTTCTCTCTCCCCCTCCCCGCCCGCATAAAACCTCCAGGTCTTGGGGTCCTCCCTTTGGTCCATGGGCTCCGCACTGTGTTGTGTGGTTATGCTTCAGCACCTCGCCGTAGCTGGCAGAAGACAGGAGGCTTGTAAATGAGGGCATTTGTTTTTGATACCGCGTGCAGACTGTTAGGAATCCTGTGTCTGATTGGTCACGCCCCGTTTATTTTTAATTTAAGTGATTTGAGCCGTGGGAGCATGAAATTATCTAGGATCACACTTGGGTCGTCTTAGAGAATTTGCTCTCGCTTTGATGCTAAGAAGGCAACTGGTGCCACTGAGTAATTCACTAAGTTTTAATTTAATTTTCAGCTTTGGGAACCCGTCGCTGGATGAGAGAAGCATTCTTGCCCCCCTCTATCAGTGTTGCATGTAAGTTTCGCACAGCAAATACATGGGCGTGTGTCATCTTCCTTTCCAGGCTCACGTAACAGTACATCCGTTTCCTGGGCCTTAAAACTTCCTAAGACCTGAGCAAGTGCTTTTCATGCTTTTCCATCCCAGAACCCATGGAGCTCAAAATTCATTTCAAATTTTATATGAATAGGAATCTTCAGCCTATTCAATAATATGTATTCATGTTTGTTTTAATATCAGAATATGATCCTTTGCCAGAACTCTAGTACAGTCTGTGTCCCTGGCTGCTCTACCGTGTTTACCTTGGGGTTTGAAGTGCTCTGACTCCCCACCACAGATCATCTGTGGTTTGCAGATCTCAATTTGAAATTGTATAAACCAGATGTAACTTTTTCGGAGGCATTTAGTCATGTGTTTTTTTAAAGACTGTATTAGAAAACAAATTAAAAGGTAAATCAAAATGAGATGAAGACCGGGCTCTAAGGAGCTCCTTTTCAGAGCATTATTGCTGGTTTAAAATTTAAAGGGGAGCATTAAGAATCAGCTGGGTTGCACGTCGCTCAGCCACAGGAAACAGGAATCCAGGAGCACACCACATCCTCCCGAGTAACTGCCCGAGACACTCACATCACATCCGACTGCCCCTCCTGGCAGCCGGGCTCTTTCTCTTGTCTCTTTTTAATAGCAGCAGTACGGTATTCTGCATTGAGTACTGACTCAAGCACCCCTTGTTTTCATTAATAGGAGGCGATAGTATGGCCATTCAAAAACCACGTCTTTGAAAGAAGATGTTTTTGTGTAATAGTCAGTGTTGTCCGTCTGATCCAGTCAGAAGCTAGAAAAGACACAGTAGGTTAAATGGGAAAGTTGAGTATAAAGAAGCTCTGATACAAGCGTAACTATAAAAGGAAACTTCTTAGGGCTGAGGGAGAGTACCCTAGGAAGGACAAACTTGGAAGGGAACCCTGTCCCCAAGGCTAGGGTGTGGACCTCCGTGAAGGACAGTCCGGTCCACGGGAGAGCGGAGAAGTTGGCCAGTTTGCAGGCCCTGGGCGAGCAGGAAGCAGCCCTCCGGGGTACAAGTTGAGGCAATGACTTGCACCTGGGGTCAGGGCATCATGGAGGGAGGGATGAAACCGCCTGGGCTGCAGGCAGGGCACGTGTGTGGGCCTGCAAAGGGAGTTGGGGTGCCAGCATGGGCAGGTGGCCCTCGGGGCCCGGGTTTCCATGTCAAGAGGGCCTGCTCATCCTGGCACTGTGGCCGGGGCGGAGCGACGTCTGATGACCCCTCCCCCCGACTCCCGACCCGCTTGTGCAGCAACCGGAAGTGTCTGCAGTATCCCTCCAGTGACGTCGACGGAGAAAGCTTGACAGGAGAGATGCTTCAAGGAATTCTCCGCGTTATAGCAGAGCATACATATATGGAGAGCAAATGTGGGGCTGAGAGGCGGACAAGGGATGCCTTAGTCACACAGGGAAGTTCTGATGCTCTGAGCACTTGTCGTGGACTTGATAATAGCAAAATCACACCCCTTCCGTGCTTTGTCCAAAGGTCGCTCTTCCTTTTTCAATAGATGCAGGACGGGCTGCCTCTTGCAGAGTCAGACTTCTATGTCTACCTCGTAATTCCCACATTACCCACAGGAAGTGGGTAGAATTATAATATTGATACTATAATTGAATTATAATATTAATGGTAGGAATTTTTAACATTCAGAAACACAAAAAGAAGAAAATTAAAACTATCCATTAAGATGTAAGGGTAACTCCTGTTAACATTGCAGTGACTTCGTTCTGATCATGTGTGTCTGTCTGTATATGTATGTATGTGTGTTTGTACATACACACACATTTTCTTTCCCCACAGATTTGGAGTAAAGCTTTCTCCCTTTAACTTTTTTCTCCCACCCAATATTATATCACAGGCATTTTTCAAGCCACTAAATTTTCAAAACTTTTTAACAGCTGCATGGTAATTCCCTTGAATGGGTAAGTCATACATTTGTTTCCTGGTAGCTGAACATTCAGATCTTTCACATTTTTCCGTTGCAAATTTAGTACACATTGGAATGAACATCTTTGCATATACCTCTGATTAATTACCTAGAAAAACATATCAAAATGTGGTAATGTGACTTTTTCATCATGTAGAGGTCCTTCAGAAACAGATTTTTTTTTTAGTTGAAGCATTTTACATAATTATTTCCCCAGCAGGCTTTCATCTCCTCTCGATAGTAAGAGGTTTCACGTAATCTGCCTTAAAACCCTCTCTTCCAGCATTCGGGTGTCCACCTGGAACAGACTGAACTACCTGAAGGATGGTGTGCTCAAGTCTGCCTTAAAGTCCGCCACGGCCCACGACCCCATCGCCCCCGTGCTGTCTGAGCCTCACCTGGACGCCGCCGACCAGCGGCTCCTGAGTGTCCTGGCCACTGTGAAGCAGTGCACTGACCAGTTCGGGGCAGACGCCGTGCTGGTGGAAGATAGGATGCCTCTTTCCCACTTGTGATCGCACCACAGGATAAGCGAGACTCCTTTTTACAAAGCGAGAGAAACAGCACAATCACTTCCGAACGGTCTGGGGTGGATCGGAAACGGCCGGCAGCAAGCTCTGGTGACAGGGGCGGGGGTCAGGGGGGCCTTGGATGCCTTTGGCGATTTCTGTAGGAGAAGCGAAAGCAAAGACTACAGGTGTCCGAGCACAGGAGCGTTGCTGCTGAACCACCCAGCGTCCCCGGCCTCGGCCCCTCCAGCGGCAGGCCTCCTGGCTGGTCCAGCCTCCCTCACGTGCCGCGGGACAGACAGAGGTGTGACGTTTGGCTAGGCTAATGCTGGGATTGGTTCCGGAGTGGGTAGTTTGAGTTCATCCTTAGAATCCTTTCTCCACTCGTGTGGAGTTTCTGAAAACACTTGGCCATCTCTGGAGTCCTTTTTTCACCGGGACTAGTCCAACTGGGAATTTGACGGCCTCCTGAGGAGGGGCAGCCAGGAAAACCTGGCCTTCTCTTGAGCCAGAATAGCATGCTCTTTGGGAAGGGATACGTGTTTGGGATAGAATTAGTGGGAACGACAAAAGCAGGGAAGATGCTTGGGCTTTTAAGCAATTGGCTGGTAGTGCTTTTCCTGATCTCTTAGAGGAGGGAGGAAGAGACGGCACCGGAAGCGAGGGGTGGCCCCCAGTATTTGAGTTCTGCGGGTGTGGAAAAGCAAACATGACTGGAACCTCAGTAAGATCTGCGTGCTCACAGCTGTGTCCCAGTTAGCCCCCAAACTGTCCAAGCAGGATTCTCTCATGGAGACTTTTCTTTCTCCCTTTTGCCCCAAGGAGGCAAATCCTTTCTGAATTAACAAAGCAAACTGAGCTAACCCCTTGAATGAGAGTTAAGTTGCCTGTGATCTCTGCCACCCTGATTTCTCATCTGAGATGAGTTTCCACCTCAGCCTTTAAGGCATTCACTCACTGAAGCTGCTCTTCCCAAGAGATTGGCGGTCCCGTCTGTATCTTTCTTGTGGGAAAAGCCAGCTCCCTGGCTCGGCTGACCGCGCGCGTTCTGCTGGCGGCTGGGCCTGTCTTGTGATGTGGGCCGTGCCGACGACTGGGAACGAAGAGTTGAAGCTCTCAGAGCCTCAAAATGAAGGAGGTTACCAGGAAGAGCCTTAAGATTTTGATTTATGTCAAGCCCTCATTTCCTTGTTTAATTTCATCGGGCGTTCGGAGGTGGTGGTGGAGTGCCGGTGTCCCTGTCCCGGGTGACACAAGCCCAGGCTCAGCTTGGTCTGTGTTCCAGCAGAGCCTCTCGGACCTGTGAGCCGTCACAGCCTGCCTGGGGGCCGGGCCAGCCTTGCACTCCTGTCAAGCAGGGGCTGCTATTTAAACAGTGTGGGGGAGCAAATGTAATGCCAGCCAGTGGAGACCAGTGTGGGGCAACCTCCCTTTCAAAAACAGCCTAGAATCTATGTTCTCACTTTCTCGCATTGAAAGACAGCTGAGTAACCTATAACTGTTAACAGTGTGAGGTCAGGACGCTTTTGTACTTTGTATGTACATTTTGAGACATCCACAAGGATGGGTTGAGTTATAAAAGAAGGTATTGAACCTAACTAAGAAACCAGGTATTAGCACTAAACACTGAAACGGTGTTAACAAAAGGAGGCCTTAGATTCCAATTTTAAGGTCATTTCCTGTGTGCGTCAAGTAAAATTCCCAGTTGAGCTGGAGAATACCGTGGATGGTGCTCTGCTGGTGCTCACGCAGAGCATCGGGGAGCTGGCTGGAGGGAGGTGGCGGGCAGGAGGCAGTGCGCTCGCCTGGGTGAATGTTGGTTCAACTAAATGATGGACCAGTGTTCTTGCAGACACAGGGCGCCTGTAGTCTGCCGCAGTGGAATGAGTAAGAATTGTTCCCCAACTGGGAGCTTCATTCATAATGTTGAAGGCAGAAGATATTGCTAAGGAAACGGGAGGGAATGTCACATCGTTTTTTCAGAACACTGCAGAAAATGTATAATTTCATTCTCTTTCCTACTGTTTTAAAATTCATGATCTTAAGAGGTGTTCAGATCTATTGAGGTTGAAGTCTTTAAGCTGATAGGGTGGTGTCACAGGACTCTTGGAACATAGATTTATGTTCTCATCAGGATTGGATTAAGCTAAGTTTGGGCGAATCTTAGAGAAAACCAACCAAAAGCTTATAGCCATGAAATGCACAAAAACCAAATTCTGTTTGAAAAACAGAGGCTGATATCTTTTTTTTTTTTTAAGTTTTGTCACCGGGTCCTCTTTGTGGTTTCTTTAGCACTAATATACTCAGACAAGTCACTAGAAGGGTTCTTGGGCAGCCCTAGGTTGGGTGTGCCTAGCCAACATCTAAAGGTAGAGGTGGATACATTTTATATAATCCCGTTAGGAAAATGAGAACTGACTGCCATTTCCTCACCTCCTCCCACTCCTTAAATATGTTTATTCCAGAGTTTGAGTGGGGAAATATGGGTATAGAAGTTTTATTCTAAATTGTTCTTTTAATATGAGGCTATATTGTGGGTTTGGGTGTAAATAATTTTCTGTGCAAAACAAATTAATAGGATCTGTGATTTGCTCAGAGTGTTGTTCGATAATATATTAATAAGGCATTTCTCCCTGTTGCACTCAGGACTAATAGATCAAATGAAATTTAAGGAGGAAATGGAAGAATTCAGGTACATCCATTGCATATTATTTGGGGAAAGATGAATCCTGTACATGGCAATTTTTCAGTGTCACCTGAACAACAAGTTCTTCCAAGGAAATTCGTCTTTTCTTTTCCATAAAAAAGAAAAGAAAAAAGGCTTTTGGCTTTTCCTTCGCATCCACCATATTCCTTCAGCGTCCATTCTCAGTGGCCCCTGTATCATCTCATTTGACTGTAAGTGACCACACCTCAGTGGCGATAAAACCGCGTCTGTCAGCTGTCCTAATAGGCGTGATCTTGTGAGCTTGAGCTTCAGGAAACATGAGTAAAGGCATATGTATGTATATAGTCGTATCTGTATTGTAGCAAGAAAAAAATGTATTTATTTTGACACAGGGAAACACTGACTTATGTTGCTGAAGAACTTGAAGCTAGTGAAAGGGTCACTTGTCAGTCTCTGCGAGTGGCCCTGACGTGACATAAAAGACCATTCAGCCGGCACCTGCTGGGCAGCTGTGGTGAGCCGGCTGCAGCTAGGCACACGCGGGAGCCAGACACACCTGACTTCGTGCAGCCTGTTGTCCAGGGGAAGGCCAGTTTCTCTCCCTTCGATGCCTCCAGTCTGGGTTGGAAAGGCAGGGGCTGGGGACGCCACTGCCACAGGTTTTTAAAGGAACTAAGGTGTTACTCACAAATACAAAGCATAAGGGCGGGAGCCGGGAATAACTTACTGGGAAGCTAATTTATTTGCTTAAAAGGGATGTGTAGGAACCACTGCCCTCTGTTTTGATCTGCCAAGGATTTCCTCAGCGCTGCCGCACGGCGGGGGATTGGGCTTGGTAAGACACCATATAGGACAGATACGCACCGAAATTTCTAATGTGTTCTATGGGTTTCAATTCTGAAAAAGAAAAAAAAAAAAAGAAAATAAAGATTTTAATATGTATCGATGTATCATCTTTTCCTCTTACTCCTTTTTCCCCTTCTTTCAAGCTATTTTCAATGTTCTGTTCCAACTTCCTGTCTGTTTTGTTAGGGGACAGAAAAAGATGACCCCTTCTGCTCCCACTTCAACCTTCGCAGGGACTGTTCCATAGTATCTGATGAGTAAGACCTTTGCACGTGCTCACTAGCCTCCAAAAGGCCAATCCCAGGTTGTGGCTCTACCAGAAATTTCCATTGGAGAATTCTTGGGTGCTTTTTGTATACTTGGTATAAGTTCAGCCCATTCCTGCAGCTTTTATAAGTAAAACATTATAAATCCTGAAGAACATGTCAGCACAGTACTGTACAGACATGGAGGAGACCAGGGCCCTGATGATTATTCTTCAGACAGCCAGATTTTTAACTTTTGATATAGAAATCCAGCATCATAAACCTCAACTAGACAACGAAGCCGACTTCTTAAGTTTTTACTTGGTTTGCCGCATTTTTGCGCCACCTTTTGTCCCGTGCACTTGGATACTGGTGGGAGGCTGCCGCCTTGTGTTCTTCACTGACTCACCTGCGATCCTTTTTCAGGTGGGCTTCAGGCTTTGCTTCTCAGGCGTATTAGAAGGACTGGGATTAAAACTCGGAAAAGGCAGCTGGGAGTAGGGAGGGTTCGTGAAGTGTTCAGTCTTCGGTAGACATTTGGGCTTTGGGAGTGCCCTCAGAGAACTGACGGTCCCAACAGAAGGAAACTGTGAAGCACCCAATGTGTCTGGATGATGTCAATGAATTACGGTAGAAATGCAAGCAGGAACAAATCACTGGGGTCAGGAGGGTGAGAGGTAGGCAGAGCCCACATGGAAGAAGGGGAGCGTGAGCCAGGCCTGCTGTGTGTGTAGAAGCCCGATTTCCAAAGTACACAGCCTCCTGGGCCTGTACCCTGTTTCATCCCTTCAGGGCTGCGGGGAACCATGGGAAGGTTTTCATCGGCCCGCCCTGTCTCTTGAAAGGACCCTTCGAGTCCACTGTGTCGTTTCAGTTGCTCCTTAGTATAAACAAGCCACCGGTGTAGAGATGAGCTGTGAAATATTGATTTTATGTTTTCAGAGTTTGCTTTTTACATGCCAAGTGTAACGAGATGAAGCCTTGATTTTTACTCAGAGATTGTTTTCAGGGCAGAGAGAGTTCTGCCTGCCTCCAGCCGGGTCGGTGTGTGGCAAAGCTTGGTGCCATTTCAATGACCTCAGATAGGTGTTGCGTGTCCATTTTCTCTTAGACTTTGTTAAAATGCAGATTTTGATTGAGTAGGTTTGAGGCTTGGGATTCTGAATTTCTAATGAGCTCCTGGATGAAGCCAGTGCTGCTGGTCCCTGGAGCACGCTTGAGTAGCAGGGAGCGGGGTTTGCTTGCTAAGGAATCATGGCGGGGTGCCTGGGTGGCTCAGTTGGTTAAGCGACTGCCTTCGGCTCAGGTCATGATCCTGGAGTCCCGGGATCGAGTCCCATATCGGGCTCCCTGCTCAGTGGGGAGTCTGCTTCTCCCTCTGACCCTCCTCCCTCTTGTGCTATCTCTCATTCTCTCTCTCTCAAATAAATAAAATCTTTAAAAAAAAAAAAAAGGAATCATGGCGGCCTGTAGTTTTCAAGACAGCCTCTAGATGTCCCCATCGTCCACGAGATCTCGCTCCTAGACTCCGAACCAACTGCGTCCAAGCCCTGAGAATGAAATGTTGGCAGTTTACTGAAACCAGAGGCTTGTCTAAAAACTGGTGTTTGGATCCATTGTTTCTGTGTGGAACTGACAACGGTGAAAAAAAAAATGTTTACTTTTAGAAAAAAATGTCATCTTGAAATCAAGATGTTTGTCCAAGAACTTTCCAGCTATCTCCTTTATTTACCACTAAGTGCTAAATTCAAATCAGAACACTGCAGAAATTAGCAGTTAGTCCTACATGAAAGTTAAAAGCAGAGACTGTTATTTTCACAGTCCCAAAACTTTGGTTTTTAAAAGAAACTGGTGTTGGTAATTTTATCACCATAAATTCACTTGTAAACATCACTACTATAAAATCATCCAAGCCTCCTGGTGTAGACCATCCAGAGCCTCATACATAATAAAAGTCAGCATGTAACTGAATGAGCCCATGAACCCTCAGAGCCTCCCGTCAAGTGACTGTTTTATTCTGCCATTTGATCGGTGGGGAATCAGGCATAGGGCAAATAACACCCGAGGTGACACACAGAAAATGGCAGGGGCCATATTGGGTTGCCATTCACGCTCATTCACTGGATGAGTTCGTGTTTTCACTTTCCAGATAAGCAGAAGGGCGTGTTCCTTGGTAGCGGTCCGCGCGAGCTCTCCTGGGCTTGACTGCGCTCGCAGCCGGGCTGGGGACTGGCCGCGGCTCCGTGGGAGGCTTGGCTTCAGTGTTGCCATCACTCCGAGGGGCTGAGACCTACAGTACGCACATCCCTAAGCCCTCTGCAGGCTGTGGTGATGTCCTAGCAGGTGCACGGCTGAGTTCCGGTGCTGTCTGAGCGCGAGCCAGGGCGGATGCGGTGAGCGGCTGCGGGACGAGTGGCCGCGGCACTGAGTGCGATCTGAGAGACGGGGACATCGTGAGCTGGCCCCCGGATGCCGCAGAACCCAGCCTCGAAGCCGCGGAGCCTGTGCCATCAGTCGAGTCCCACGACCTCTAGACAGCACTTCGTTCCAAGGGCAAGAGGGCCCCGATAGGCCAGTGGCTTCAGTCACTCAGGTGATTTTGAAAAATGCATTAAGCTCTTCTGAAATGCGACAGGCACGTGGCAGGCTCATGCTGTGGAGAAGGGGCCCCAGAGGAAAGGCGCCCTCAGGTCTTGCCTGTGGCATCTGAGGAGCTGCTCAATGTCACCAGCGCTTCAAAGCGGCAAGCGGGGCCGAGAGAGCGCACACAGTATCAGCCGAACTTCCTTCCGTGATGTTCCCCCGGCTGGGAGTTTCCAGAAGCCGAGGATCTCCAGCCTGGAGCCTTCGGGCTTCCCCTGGCCCCGGGCGGACTCCCAGCTGTGGAAACCTGGGGCTGCTCGCAGCGGTTTCACTTCCCGGGGTGGCGGACCCGTGTGACTCCCCGCCCCCCGCCCCCAGGGCCTCTCTCCACCCGGCGCCGGGTGACACGCCGCCCGAGCCGGCCCGGGGCTGATCTGCCGCCAGGGGCAGGGCATAAACGGGGGGCCCTTACTGGGTCGGCGTCGGACGGGCCCCGGGGCTGCCTAAGGGAGTCGCCGGGTGGCCGGCGGTGACCCTTCCGAGGCCTGACTGCGCCTCCTCGGCGACCGCGGGCTCCCCAGTTCAGCGCGAGGCCGGAAGAGAGCCCCGGCGGTGGGCGGCGCCTGCGGGCGGCCTCGGGGTGCGCTCGGGCCGCGGGCCTGGGCCTCGGTTCCCGCGACCACGTCCGCCGCCGTCCGGGCACTACCGGGAGCGGGGCGGCGGGAGAGCCATGCGTCGCCTGCTCCTGCTGCTGGTGCTGCTGCTCCTGCCGCGGCCGGGCGCCCCGGGACCCGGCGACGACGCGAGCCCGCCCGACGCGGCCCAGGAGCCCCTCCCGGGCCTGCGCGAGCGGCTGCGGGAGGCCGCCGCCCTCTCCCGACGGTACTGGGCGCTCCTGCGCTGCCGCGTGTGGCCCAAAGACTGTGAGCGCGCCGAGGAGGCTGGCGCCGGGCTCCCGGGTAAGAGCGGCCGCCCGGGCTCCTCCGGCCGCGGCCCCCGTGGTGGTGGGGGGGGCTGGGGGGAGGGGCAGGCGGGGGGCCGGGACGTGCGCTGGCCGGGGGAAGCCGGGCGCCGCTGTCCCAGCCGCCGGGCCGCGGCCACCAGGCAGGCGCCCTGGCTGCCCGCCCTACCGCCCCGCCCGGCCTCGGCCCAGGCGGCGGGCAGGGGCGCCTCTGGGGACCCGGCCGCCTCCCCGGCCTGTGTCCGTCACAAGCCCATCTCCTTCCCCCGGGTGCTCCGCCTTCGGCGCCCGTCCTTGACCCCTCCAGACAGCTCACACTTCCTTGAGTCGGCCAGCCCACCTGGCATTATTCCAAGGAGCTGCTCTTTCCCGCCGCCTTCTGGGCTTTTCGGCAAAGTCCCCGGCTGGACACCTGTGTTCTGATTCCCACTCCGTCAGTGACAAATCTGGCATGGACCAGATGCGCTCTGAGGCTCCTTGCAGTCTGTGGAGATAATTCTAGGTCCCTAATGCAATTCTGATGGCAATCCTACAATGGTGCTGTAAACGTCTTTCATTTAAATCAAAAGATTTCTAAAGCCCAGTGGTTGGGCTTTGTTTGGTTGCGTTTCTGCTAGTGCTGGCAATGTTCAAACTGACATTTGACAAAAGAATTGAGAGGCCCTTGGGGTTGGCAGGGATCACACCATTTTGGAATTCACAGCAAGTAGGCAGAATGATCATCACCAGCGGCTGTTGGTCTCCCTGCCAGACTGCAAACTCCTTGTGGGCAGCTCTGGGTTTCTTACGCTTCTGGCACACGGTGCTTAAGGCATATATGTTGAGCAAATTGACCTTTGCTGGATCTGTATCCGCAACAAGGCCATCGACTTCCACCAGGCTGGGGGCGCCCCCTCCTGCTCAGTCCCTGGCTAGGCACAAGGAAGGCCCAGGGAAGAGCAGTCAGGAGCAGCCCCGGAGGGAGGACCAAGGACAGGAAGAACTGCTCTGCTTGGTTGCGGGGAGACAGTGTCCACCTTCCCCGTGGCCCTGGGTTCTGTCCCGGTCTCACAGCTCCCCCTTTTCCAGGCTGGAGCCTTCCCCTGTTGGGCCAGCAGTACCTGGACATCCTGACCTCGTGGTACTGCAGCTTCCAGGCCTGCTGCGACAGTGGGGACTGCAGGATCTCCAACAACTTCACAGGTGGCACCTTGCATGGCCCTGTGGGGCTGGGGATCTGTGGGGAGGAGAAGCAGTCCGGGGGCAATGCAAGGCACCCTTCATCGTCCTGCCCCCAGCTGACAGCACGCCCCTCCTGTCTCCGCCATGGCTCCCAGAGCCCCTGTCTCCACACCCTGTAACCTCATGGCTGGGAGGAAGGCATCGCAGAGGACTCTGAACACACTAGCTGCCCTCAACAAGTGTTTGCTGAATTGAATTTATTCATGTGAGGGAGTCTCCATAAAGCACCTAGGGGTTCCCGAAACCTCTGGGTGGGAGCAACCTCTTGGGCATCAGGGATGGGCTTCCTCCTCCAGACAGGACTCTGCCAACCATTCTTTTTTTTTTTTTCAAGATTATTTTTTTGAGAGAGAGAGAGCGTGCACACGAGTGGGGGGAGGGGCAGAGGGAGAAGCAGGCTCCCCGCCGAGCAGGGAGCCCCTAGGGGGCTCGATCCCAGGACCCTGAGATCATGACCTGAGCCAAAGGCAGCTGTTTAACCGACTGAGCCACCCAGGCGCCTTCTGCCAACCCCTCCCGCAGCTCAGAGATGTTCAGAGGTGCTCTGTCTCCCAGGCATCACGGAGCCTGGTGGGGACCCCATCTGTGCCACCGCACCATGGCGGCTTCTTTCCCCCTCCTAGGCCTGGAATGGGACCTGAGTGTACGACTGCACGGCCAGCATCTGGCCCGGGAGCTGGTCCTGACGACGGTGAGGGGCTACTTAGAGCTGCCCCGGCCAGACAAGGCTCTGGCTCTGTCGTTCCACGGCTGGTCAGGCACAGGCAAGAACTTCGTGGCTCGGCTGCTGGCAGAGAACCTATACAGGGACGGGCTGCGGAGCGACTGTGTTGAGACGTTCATCGCCACCCTACACTTTCCTCACCCGAAGTATGTGGACCTGTACAAGGTGAGGCCGTGGGGTGCTCTGCCCGGGGGGGCTCTGCCGGCGGGTCGGGCCCGAGGCTCGGCCAACCTGAGCCGCAGGCTTCTGGGATGGGACGGACACCCTGAAAGCAGCCCTTCCCTGCGAGGGGGTGGCCTCGGAGACGCCTGGGTGTGGGCATTGGCGGCCCTGGTGACAAGCCCTGTAACCCACAGAGACATCCACTCCACAGAGATACGGCCCTGAGCGTGTGGAGGAAAGATTCATATTCAAACACTGCGCGTCTTGAGCCCCATCTCCTTATCAGCTGCCCACTGAGCTTAAACAGAGAATCCACGTGATAGTTGTCTGTTCTCGAAGTAGTGGTAATTGTGCAGGAAATGTGGAACAGACAAAAGCAAAAACTTTATCAGAATCTCCACACACAGACACAAACACAGTTCGCATTTGGGTGTACTTCCTTCAGGTTTTATGTCATTGTGATTAATACTGGACAGAAAGTTGTAGATCCTGTTTTTTGGGGAGGCTGCGCAAGAGGGAGAGGGAGAATCTTAAGCAGGCTCCACACCTAGCGTGGAGCCCGACGCAGAGCTCGATCTCACGACCCTGAGATCATGACCTCAGCCGAAATCAAGAGTCAGGCGCTTGACAGATTGAGCCACCCAGGCACCCATATCCTGCCCCTTCTTTTTTTTTTTTAAGAGGCGTATCATATAAGATTTTCCATGTCTTCCCCAAATCACCAACAGGTAGGGAGACAAAAATTGTCCTTGCCGCTCTGCTCTTTTGGCTTTCTTCCATTCAGACATGTATTTCAGATAAGCCAGACGATGGGCAAAACCCCATTGCAGCATGACAGAGAGGACTACATTGTGTCTGGGTTTCCGTCCCACTCTCTGCAGTGTGTTACCCTGGGAAGATGATGTGAGGCTCCCAGCACAGAGCCGGCTGAGTCAGCTGCAGGTGCAGCGCGGTGCTGGAGGGCCGGAGACTGGTGGCTAGTCCGCCAGGCCTTCCCAGAAAGAACAAACGGGCTCTGTGGCAGAACTGCTCTGGATCTCTGCTTCCCCACTGTGAAAACAGACCTGTGCACGCTCTCTCTCTCCCTCTCTCCCCCCCCCACACACAGTAGGGTGACGAGGGGCCGAGGTCAGACCCAGGGAGGCCAGAGGTGGATGGAGTGGGGGCTCTGCTGACAGACCCGCCAGGTTCGGGCGCTGGCCCCCTTCTCCTGCTGTAGCCTTCAGAGGGCTTTCGACTCTCTGGCCGGGGGTGCGGCACCCCCGGGGGCCAGTTGGCTGAGTCCCGGACAGGTCCCACCCAGGCTTCTCCCCTGAGGTCTCAGCCTAGCCTGGGTACTAGTGAGCACCCGCCCCGGGGAGTTCAAGACAGGGGGCTGGGGTGGCCTGTGGGCACGTGAACCTGCTGTGCCCGTCTCCCCGATATTAGAGCCTGGCTCCTGCCCCTCAGGGAGGCTGATTGGACGTTGGTTCTGGGATGGGACCTCATCCTGGAGCGCGAGGAGCAGGGCGAAGCCTGGGGCCTGCTTCCAAGGCCAGGCCAGCCCGCTTCCTCTCCCCAAAGCCCAGGATGCATGAGAATCACCTGGGAAGCTCATCAGAGGTGTGGGCCCTAGCCCCACCCCCACACGTGTGGATTGGTAGTTGTTGGGCGGGACCCCAGGTTCTCCTTTGCAGACGCCAAGCGCGGCCCTCAGGGCTGGAGGACGGGAACGGCCGCCCCCCCCCCCCCCCCCCAGCTCGCAACAGCTCCCTGTATTCCGTGCAGGAGAAGCTGGCAAGTCAGATCAAGGAGACACAGGAGCGCTGCCACCAGACCCTGTTCATTTTCGATGAGGCCGAGAAGCTACATCCGGGAATGCTGGAGGCCCTCAGGCCACACCTGGAACGCCAGGCTCCCGAGAACCACAGGGTAGAGTCCCGGAAAACCATCTTTCTTTTTCTCAGGTGAGGTCTGAGGAACAGTAGTCAGGAGGGCTGGGGGAGGGGAGGGAGGCGCCTCCGTCCAGGTGCCATGTGGGCCGGGCTTGGGAGTCAGCCGACGGAGTGGGGGGGGTGCTTCCACGCTCCCCGGGGCTGCAGACCCTTCTCTGCACGGGAAAACGAGAGGAAACAGGAGCCTGGCTGCTTGGGTGGTAGCAGCGGTGCGGAGCCTTAGGCTTCCTGGTCCTGCCCTGATCCTACCGCCAAGGCTCTTGGAAGGACTCTGACTCCCACCTCCCGGCCCCCGCCATCGCCGGCTCGGGCCACCTGCCGGAAGAGCAGAGCAGTTATCCCTCACCTATCCTCCCCTGCCCAGCCCCCCCCCCCCCCCCCGTGGCTGTCTTAGGGCGGTGAGGCTTCCCTCCAACACCCTAGAGCACACAGTCCCCTCGGGGAGGGACCACTCACACACTAGGAATACCCCCCCTTCGAAGGGCATTTTGCGGGCCTTTTTTTATTGACCTATAATTGACAGACAGCATTAGTTCCAGGTGTGCAACATGAGTCAGCGTTTGTGTATGCGGTATTGCGAAATGACTGCAGTAAGTCTGATTAACACCCGTCAGCATACATGATTACACAACTTTTTTCAAGATCTGCTCTGGGCAGCTTTCAAATATGTGATGCGGTGTTATTAACCCCGGTCGCCACCACGCTGTACTCTGCGTCCCATGACTTATTACTTAACGCCCCCGGCCTCGGGCAACCGGCCATCTGTTCTGGGTCTCTGTGAGCTTGGTTCCTTGTTCTTGTTACTGTTTTAGGAGTTACTGTTACTGTCTTTCTCTTATTTCATTTCACATGATGCCCTCAAGGTTGTTGTTGCAAATGGCAAGATTTCATTGTTTTATGGAGTTTTATGAATAATACTCCACTGTGTGTGTGTGTGTGTGTGTGTGTAGCACATTTTCATCATCCATCCGTCAGTGGGCACTTAGGTGGTTCCCATATTTTGGCTAGTGTAAATAATGCTGCAGTGAACATGGGGGCATGTATATCTTTTTTAATATTTTTGTTACCTTTGGATAAATCCCCAGAAGTGGAACGGCTGGATCATAGGGTAATTTTTACCTTTAGCTTTCTGAGGAGACTCCACAGTGTTTCCCACAGTGGCTGCACCAGTTACATTCCCACTCCCAGCACACAAGCGTTCCCTTTCCTCCACATCCTCAATAACACTTGGTATTTCTGGTCTTTTTGGGTATAGCCATTCTCACAGATGTGAGGTGGTATCTCATTGTGCTTTTGATTTGCATTTCCCTGACAATCAGTGATGTTCACCTTTTCATCTACCTGTTGGCCATCTCTTTGCCTCCTTTGGAAAAATGTCTATTCGGATCCTCTACCCATTTTTAATCAGATTATTTTTTGCTACTGAGTTGTATGAGCTCTTTATATTTTTTTTTTGTTAACCCTTATCAGATATATGATTTGCAAATATTTTCTCCCATTCAGTAGGTTGCCTTTTCATTTTGTTGGCTTCCTTTGCTATGCAGAACTTTTTAGCTTGATGTGGTCCCACTTGCTTATTTTTGCTTTTGGTGTCAAATCCAAAAAATCATTGCCAAGACCGATGTCAGATTACTGCCTGTTTTCTTCTAAGAGTTTTATGGTTTCAGGTCTCACATTTAAGTGTAATCCATTTTGAGTTAATTTTTGTGTACAGTTTGAAGTAGTGATCCAGTTTCATTCCTTTATATTTGACTGTTCAGTTTTCCCAACACCATTTATTGAAGAGACTGTCCTTTCTCCATTGTATATTCTTGGCTCCTTTGTCATAAATTGACTATATGTGCCTGGGTTTATTTCTGGGCTATTTTGTTCCACTGATCTATGGGTGTCTGTTTTTATGCCAATACCATATTGTTTTGATTATTACAGCTTTGTAATAGTTTGGAATATAACTCACATACTGTGAATCCCTTCTAAATAGGGCATTAAGTTTTCAAAGCAGCACATTTGTTGAAAATTAAGTACAAACTATCCTTGAAAATTCCCAAGGTAGACTCAGTTGGAGGATGGTGTCCCATTAAGTCCAATGTGGCTGGTTCTTTCTCCAGCCTTGGAAGGTCTGTTTCTTCTCATCACGAGAGGAAGTCACTGGCTCAAAATTCGGGGTATGTTGTGTTGAATGAAAAGCTCATGCTTTTACACCTGTGCTGAGATCTGCACCCTGACCATGCAGGACTCATCCCTGAACCACTATATGACATTACCTGTTTTGTTTGCCTGTATACTCTGAAGTGGCTTTGTAAAAAGTGAATTGAGAAAGCAGCTTGTCCAATCCTATCTTTTTGTGGTGGCTCCAACTGGGAAAGTCCTGCCCAACGTCTGTTAGAAGTCAAGTTTGGGTTCCTGTTGGCCCAGCGTGAAATGCTTCACAAACCGCTTCTTACACTCAGAGTGGAAGAATAACCCATTGCTCCCGCTCCCCAAACCCCCTTCTCCCGTTCGGTAGGCCTGTATGTGCTGGCTAGGGGCTTTTCTTCAGTTTTGCATGCACCCTCTGAAGGTAGAGAAATAGGGAGTCTGGATTTTCATCCAGTTTGGAACGTATGGAGGCAGATCTTGTGTCACTGTGGACCCACAAGACAAGATGGAACCAGTTGAAACTTGCCCCGTTGGGATTTCAGTGTGGTGACGGCAAGCCCTTCCTGGTCTATGATTAAGGCACACAACAGTGCACTGTGGAGGGACACAGCATGGGGGAGGGGGGTGCTCCCAAGGGTTTTTTAAAAAAATATTTTCTTAGAGCGAGAGAGCACGAGTGGGGTGAGGGACCAAGGGAGAAGCAGGCTCCCTTAGACGCTTAATCGACTGACCCACCCTGGCGCCCCCCAAGGTGATTTTGAAAGAAAAGCAGAGAGAGAAGCTGACCTGTCCCTGACTTGAGCTGTGGTCCCAGGGCGCTGCCTTTCCCTCTCAGTTCTCAGCTTGGAAAACCCCCACCCTTGCCGGTGCATTTCCTAATGTGACCCAGGTGACCTTGCGGTCTCTAGGCAAACGTTTGCCTTTGTAGTATTTTGGTCATTGACCTGCGGGCAGTGCCCTAGTCCCCTTTAGCCCTGCCCTTTCCCCCAGTGACCTGGCCTCTGTGCAGTGTCCGAGGCCAGGCAGTCACCAGGGAATGGACAGGAGGCTGGGGTGGCGGCCGGGCCCGGGGAGAGAGCCACCAGGGGGCGGTGGGGGGGGAAGCCGCCCCGTGGGACCCACACTTGCTGGGGGACGCAGAGGCTGTGCCAGCTCTCCATGCGGAACCCCTGGGGAGGACGCATACCTGTGACAAGGCTCGAGGGAGTGGTCTCCGGTTCCAGGGGCTCTGGTGCAGGCCTGGGCCCGGCCTAGGGAGTCAGTGGGGTTTGACAGGCCTGAGTGCTGGCTGACCCCGTGCAGCTCAGCGCCATCCCCACCCCTGCCCCCGGGCGCCCGGAGAGCAGCACTTCTAAACCGTGAAGGTTTCCACGTACAGGTCTTCATCAGTTTGCAGTGGGATCATGTCCCAATAAGCTCATCTAAGTTGAAAATGTATTTAACACACCTAACCTACCGAACACTACAGCTCAGCCTAGCCTACTTTAAATGTGCTCACAACACACACATTAGCCTGCAGTTGGGCAAAATCATCCGACACAAAGCCCATCTTCTAACAGTGTTGACCGTCTCATGTAACTGGCTGAATGGTGTACTGACAGGAAGAGCGTGGTTGTGCGGGTGCAGATGGTTGTAAGGGTGTCACTTGTCGACCCCTGTGATCGCGTGGCCGCTACCCAGCATCACGAGTCAGGATCAGACCGTGTGCTTCGCTAGCCCAGGAAAAGATCAAAATTCAAAGTGAGACTTCTGAATGCTTACTGCCTTTGTATCCTTGTCAAGTAGAAAAATCGTTAAGTCAGGGGCTGTCTGTATTCTAGCGATGGGCCGGGGAAGGCTGTATTTGAGTCTCTGGATTTGAGGTCTACGGTGGCCTCACCCCTGTGCTGAGGGCTCTTGTGTTTGAAAGGAAAGCACAGCTGATTCGAGCTGTTGGTGGGAACAAGTCACATTCATTGAAGGCCAGCAGTTTAATCCTGACAAAACTGCTAAACGTGCTGCTTGAAGTGAGGTGCTGTGGGGTTGCAGTCCTGCCCCGTGGTGGTGGCAGTCGGAGCAGGGGTGTCCTGGGCGCCAGGCTTGAGTGCCTCCACTAACGCCGAGGACTTTCACCTGTCTCTGCCATTCTAGAGAATGCTCCTGGAATGGGGTCGTGGAACTCTGGTCCTCTTCTTAGGGAAGCGGTCCGTGAAAGGAAAGGAGAGAAAGGACTTTGAACAATTAAAAGAGTAATACGAATGTAAATTGTTCATGGAATCAAAAGCCTTGTACAAATGTGTATTTGTTGACGATTGAACCTAAGGTAACGTAAGGGGGCAAATTGGTGCAATTCTCTTATTTTACAAATAAGGACACTGAGGTTCTGTGAGATTAATAAGTGTTTATATCTCTTTAAGAAAGACTTAGCAATTAAGGTTTGGGGTTTAAGAGTTCTGGAGAGGTCTCTGAAGTCCCCTTCCTTTGGGGTCTTGGGGCTAAGGGCTGGGAAGAGGACATGTCCTGTCCCAGAACCAGGGGACAGGCTAGGCTCCAGAGGTGCCTTCAGACCCCTCAGCAGCCGGGGACCTGGGAGGATGTGGAGAACGGAGGTCCTCCAGGAAGGCCCCAGCTCCCTAAAGGAGCAGTCCTGGTGCCAGAGGAGCAGTCCCGAGGAGCTGAAGACTAGGGCAGGTGAATAGAGACGGGGCTCAGAGTCTGTCTTGGTGGGTGAGAGAGAGGAAGAAGACCTGGGTGATGGGACAAAGAAGAGAAATTGAGAGATGCAACAGTGTAAACAAATGTGCAGACACGTGTGTCGATTTGTCAAATAACGTTTATTGAGCACCAAGCACAGCAGTCCATGCTCCTGGGGCTGGATGAGTGCATCGCGCTCCAGCCCACCCGTGTCCACCTGCCCTTGCCTCCCGCGGGGGATGCAGGATGGGGCAATCCCTGGGCAGGGGACAGCTCTTGCCTTTGGCCTCTGCTGATGGCAGATGGCCTGCCTGGCAGGCCTTCCTACAGCAGCCTCCCTGCGTGCAGGTGTCACGGGAAGTCTGGCTGGGCAGCTGAACTTGAGCAAGGGGTGGGGGCGAGTCCCCCAGCTAGGACTCAGGACCCCTGGGACCATCTGGCTGGGAGGGGTGCACCAGCGCCCATGGGAAGGAGGCACTGGATCACTGGGCAGTCCTGGCTCACCCAGCGGCAGCGGCAGCGGCAGGCAGGGGGAGAGCCTGGCACACGGGACACACTCTAACACCAAACAAGCAGACAAACGGGTTAATGTACCTGTGAGTGTCAGATGGCCAGCCAGAGCTTCGGGAGAAGAGAACGGAGCTACCCCCTCACGCTGCGGGCCTGAGCAGGGCTTGGTTTAAGGAGCTGGCAGTGGGGTGGGGCACACGGAGGAAGTGCTGCCGGCCCCAGGTCCCCACCTCCTCCTAGCTTCCCCAGTGCTGGCTCTCATTTCTTTTTAAGTTTTATTTAAGTCACCTCTACACCCACACGAGGCTTGAACTCACAACCCAGAGATCAAGAGTCGCATGTTCCTCCAACTGAGTCAGCCAGGCGCCCCTGATTTCTTCTCTCCTTACCCCGTCTCCCTCATCTCTCTAACCCAGTCCTCTCTCTCGTGCTTTGGACCCATCCTTCCAGTTGCCTATTGCTGTCACAACCCTTAGCTCGCAAGCAGGTGTAAAACGTGTGTGCACGCACACGCGTAGATCCAAGCTTTCGTCACGACCTTTCTCCTACATTCACGCCACCCAGTGGCGGCTGGGAGACAGCGGGCAGCTTACAACAAATGCTTGTGTGTTTTGATGACTTCCTTTCCCTCACTTCTCACATCCCTCAGTCACAGAGGCCTGGCCATTGGGCCTCCTCAACTAGTTCTTCAATCCTTCCCTCTACCTCTAAACAGGGACTGTTGCAAAAAGCCCCCTGACCTACTTTCCGTAACCATCCCATGCCTCTTCAATCCAACCTCTGTGGCCCTAGAATGATCTTAGGCAGTAAACCAAATCAGGTCACCCCACCACCCTCCACTCCCACGTTCAAACCCCTGCAGTGGTTCTCTCTGGCCTGTAAGCTAACGTGTGTGTGTGTGTGTGTGTGTGTGTGTCAGACAGTAGCCTCCACCTGCCTCCATGCCTCTGCTGCTCCAGCCCTGAACCCCACACGCCCCCTGCTCGTCCAGGCTGGGACACGCATGCTGTCCCGTCAGTTTGCACTCAGAAGCCACATCCTCCCTCTTAAGGCTTCTCCCTGGGCCTCAGGCGCTCCTGCTTTAGCACCTGCCCCGCAGTGCTGGAGTCACAAGCCCTGTCCTTCCCCATCGAGGTCAAGGGAAAGCTCCACATCCTACCATTGCTGTGCGCCCTGCACCTCGCACGGACTGTGTGTCAAAAGGGAGCAAGACCGGGAAGACAGTGTCTTCTGTGCAGACTTGGGGGTGGGACAAGATCTCCTGGAGAAGGAGAGGCCTTCGACCTCCATTCTTCCAATCATGCATGCAGTGGCCTCAGTGGTCTGTATAGCTAAATAGGAAAAGAATAAGATGTGTTCACAAGCTCTTGTCTCTTTCAGTAACTTTGGCGGCAATACCATCAATGAAGCTGTCCTGACTCTGCTTCAGGCCGGAGGGGCCCGGGAAGAAATCAGCCTGGACCAGCTGGCACCCCAGCTCCAGGCCGAGATGGCGGAGTCCACAGGTAAGTGGCTCCCAGCCTCTGGGGACGGCTGCGGTGGGGGGTGGGGGTGGGGGTCTGGACTGGAAGGTGGGCTTCTGAGGTTGGCAAGGCAACCGTATCATCACCTCACTGTCAGCTCCAGGTAGACACAAGAGAAGGTCCAAGAAAGCTGAACTCCTTCTCTGAAAAGGTTTTCAGAGTAGTTGCCCCAGCCCTGGAAACCCAGGCAGCAGACCCTGAGCAAGAGTGTCTGTGAGCTCAGTGGTTCGTGCTATGAAATGAAACCATAAACGTGCAGGCAGTGTCCCACTGTCCCGCTTCACCTGGGGCACACATTCGGAGTTAGCCAGGGCACGCTTTCGCTCTGAAGTTCTTGACACGGGCTTTAGGGTCAGGGACACCTTAAAACTCCAGTTGGGGTCAGCCCCAAGGTAGGCGTCATGTAACTCTGCTCTTGATTTCAGACACTGGCTTTGGCCACAGCTGTCTTGTCAAGGAAAACCTGATTGACTTCTTCATCCCCTTCCTGCCCCTGGAATACCACCACGTGAGGCTGTGCGCACGCGATGCTTTCCTGAGCCAGGGACTCCCGTACACAGAAGAGGCCCTGGACCAAATTGCCAAGATGATGGTGTATATCCCCAAGGAGGAGCAACTCTTCTCTTCTCAGGGCTGCAAATCTATTTCCCAGAGAATTAGCTATTTCCTGCCTTGAGGGCTTGAGGAAGACTTCCTGCAGCCGGTCTTCCACCACCAGGACCCTGGGGCCAGTCAGGGCACGGTCTGGGACTCAGGGCAGGAGGATAGGCTGGCCTCTAGCCGTCACTCACGTACAAAAGGTGTGTAAAAAGGGAAGGCCTTAAATCAGAAACAGAGCCAACGCTTTAAATCACTTGGTGCCTTAAAGAGCCACATTTTAAAATGTGGGCCAGGCGGCTGGAGAAAGCCACAGGCCAGATGAATCCCAAGGCCTGGCTAGCATCTCTGCCCTTGCCTGCAGAGGCCTGGACTTGGGGTGAGGCCAGAGGTCGCGGGGTCCTCACTGACAGGGAAGGGAGAATCAAGCTCTGCTTACCAGTGGCCAGGCTGCACCTCGGGTATGCAGGCACAGGGGCTTAGCTTTCAAGTTGTTCCCACAGGGAAGCGGAGCAGGTTTGTCAGCAAAGAGCCTCAGGCTGAAGGAAAAAGTACACAAAGGAAGAATTTATATATATATATAAAAAATCATGTCAGTGGAGGTTAAGATTTGTACTCTTAGATTTAAAAGAAAAATTTAAGCAAGGGGCTTTGACATGGCTGTGTCATGTGTAAAGATTAAAAGTTTGTATTTTTCTAAAACCCTCGGCCTCCTTTCTTACTGAGACCTAGTAATCACGCTCACTCAGCTGGGGGCGGATGCTGGTGCTGAGGGCAGACGCGGTGACCGCCCGCTCTGCCAGGTCACTTCTTGTGGCTTCGCGCAGAGGCCGAACCGTTACTTCAGCCTCTGAGGGGCCTCTCACAGCAGAGCGCTCTGTACGTGAAAATGTCACTCCCGGGCTCCCAGCTGTAAAAAGAAAAAGTCATTTTTGAGGTTTGAATGGCCACATATAAATGTGTACATTGTGTTTCCAGACACACAGGGGACAGCGTTGTGTGTCTTTTCCCTTCTCTTGTTCTTCTTTTGCTTTTCTGGAATTGCACACAGGTCTATGTGTCATCACCTCACGTATCCCCTTATTTAAAGCCTTCCCCAAGCCCTCCTACCTTTAGCCCTGGAAAAACAGAACGCTTCGGGCTCTCTCTGATTGAGCACTTGATGGCACGCACTCATTTACACTGTCTCAAGTCAGGGAGGACCTATAGCCTGAGCCATGTTACGGATGTTGTCTCGGTCTAGAGTATCTCGGGAAGATGATGCAGGACACCTGATCCTGTTACAACCCCAGCTCTATACTCTGTAAATACAATTTTATTTCTTTAAGATTTTGAGAGCGGTGTGCATGAGTGGGGGGAGGGGGAAGCAGGCTCCCCATTGAGCAGGGAGCCAGACCCAAGGCCTGATCCCAGGACCAATCACAGGACCCTGGGATTGTGACCTGAGCCAAAGGCAGATGCTTAACCAACAGCCACCCAGGCGGCCCTATAAATAGACACTTTAAAAGGTATACTCTCTGTCTTTAGGCTTCAGAGCACACTCCAGCAGCCATCCTTTTAGCACTGGCTAGCCACAGCTGATGGCATAAATATAGGGTCTGACCCACTCTGCACCTCAGGGACAAAGGCAGGCAGCAGGACATGGTGGCTCTGCACCCTTCTCGGGCACCCGGCCTGCAATGCGGGGGCTCAGCCGCCTAGCGCTGTGAGACCACAGAAGGCTACCAAACGCAGCTGAGCCTTGCTTGCTACTTTTGTAAAAGTGAGCATCACTGTACTTCCCTCATAGAGTTGCTGTGAGGATAAAGCCAATCCATCTTTATAAAGTGCGTAGGACACAGCCCTTTGGTGTTTAATAAAGTACAGTCTAATAAAAATGCTGTCAGTTGGCACCATACTCCAAGCCAAGGGGGGGGGCTTCTCCCCCGACCCCCATTCTAGTCCGTGCGACCCCAGCTGAAGTCTGTTGTCGGTAACCAACATTTGAGAACTTACCACGTGCCCCGCATGCACTGGGCTAAGCACTTTATAGCCATTACTTCGTGTCACCTTTAACGCTGGCTTCGACGACGAGGAAATCGAGGCTCTGAGAGGTAAAAGATCGTGCACAAAGTCACAGAGCTAGTCAGTGGATTGGAGGGGCTCAACCCAGGCAGTTCGAATCCAGCTTTCCTCTACTTGTTCCTAAAACAGATTTCCTCAGCTGTGCAGAATGTTGCAAATAATACAAAAGAGGGAAAAAATCACAATGGAAGATTCTCCTCCGGAGACTCTAAAACAAGATTTCCCAACTGAACCAAAAATGGGCAGGAGGAAAGGACTGCAGGGGGAGCGCGAGGAGGTAAGATGTTTAACAGCCCTTCCACCCGGACCTCACTGTGCACCACATGAATACAGCCTACTCCTACCTAATTACAACGGTACTTCTAAAAGCAATGACTCACGTTTTTAAAAAACTGAAGACCCAAGTTAAGCAAGGGTAGAATGTTCCATGTGACATTCTACACATGCTCTATTAATGCTACTTTGGCTCAAAACTTTCAGAACTAAGGCATCTGCCTTTGGCTCAGGTCACGATCCCAGGGTCCTGGGATCGAGCCCCACGTTGGGCTCTCTGCTCAACAGGGAGTCTGCTTCTCCCTCTCCCACTGCCTGCCGCTCTGCCTACTTGTGCTCTGTCAAATGAATAAAAAATCTTTAAAAAAAACACCTTTCTATTAATACAATTGGCACTTGGATAGAGTAATTTAAAAAAAAAGTTTTCGGAACCTATTTGGAGTGTCCTCAGAGTGGACTCAGAGAATTAAGTCTCCCTTTACAGTCACCTTATGTTAGATACACACATGCACGTACATCCATTACCCACCGTATGTACCTGTTCGGCTCCAGATGATGCCTTTGGCCGTTTCCAAAAAGTTTAATTCATCAAAGAACGAGCATTCACTCCCACAGAGGACAATCTAAAGAATGTGCCAGAGGGATGTCGCCAAAACCAGCTTCACCTTACAGCCTTCTATTTTATTGTGGGAAAAGATACATTCTGCACAGATTCCCTTTCAGTTAAAACTGTGGGAGAAACACTCCAATCAGAGGCCTACTTTGCCAATAAAATATTGCAACCTTTATTTAAAATAAAACACAAGTTGGCAAGCCTTGTGAGACAACAGGCAGACAGCATTCCCCTTTCAAGGGCCTCATTTATTTACATCAAGTTTAACACTGTTAGCAGTTCACAGTCGGACAACAGGGTGAGAGAATTAAATTAGAAAAACAAAACACCTGAAAATATATTACAAGAACAAATACCTGACAACACTGGTAGTGTGACCCATGATTGAGGTGTTTCCAGTGAAATCCCGTACTGTCTCCCTGTGTCCCCTCAGCGGTGCACAGTGCCAGGCCCTCCAGGCCTCACCCCCGTGCATCCACCACGCATACACCTGCGGAGCGTGACCTTTGGTATAAACGTTAAACGAGTTTTAAAGACTGAATGTAGGACAAAGTTCTGTCAACCACCATGAAATGTTCAAACTTCTTTTTGACAAGCGAGCATAAAACTGGGTTTCTCCACTGATAGTCATTTCAGAATCAGATTGCAAGAAGTAAAAGTGTGGGGTCTACCCAGGAGATGGGGGGTTCTGAGGATGCATACACAGCTCAGTCAGCCTGCTCGTGGCCAACACACCAAACCAGGGCACAGCTTCTCTTCACCACAGGGAAAGATCTGAGTAACTCCTCTTTCACCAACTCCCCTCCTTTCTCAGCCCAATGGTGTAGGTACAGAATGTGGACAGAAGACAGACCCTCTATATAGATCTGAGAGATGAGGGTTTTCAAACATATGCCCTAAAGAACTCTAAGAAGAGTACCTCATTGTCCTTTCTAGTTTCTGAATACTAATTTCTCTGAAGGATAATCACCCTAATCAAGGTGATTTCTCAGATCTCAGAAAATTTCTCTCATAACGGAATCCCAAGAACAGTGGCCACAGTGAAAAACAGCTTGTCCAAATGGAGGCAGGCTGGCTTACCTGGCCTTCACCTATCAGAAACATCTCGGTCTCTTGGCAGGCCTGCCAACTCTCAACACATGGTATGGTACTTCTGAATTGTGCAGAACAGTATTTGGGATTCACCAGTGAGGATACTAAAGCCCTACAGGATCCTGCGATATCTTCTGAATCAAGAATAAATTTATTAGGCATACCTGTGTTACTGTTGTGTTACAACCGATGAAAACTATCCTTATATGTGAAAATTTTATTAACTAGAAGTCCCATTCATCAATTGAAGTTTATGGTGCTTAATTACATGATTTGAAACTTCTATCCTGAGGCTCAGAAGCAAACCTAATAAGCAAGCTTCAATGAGACGAACTATTTCCTTTCTTGAAGCCCACCAGCATTGGACCACTCACCTCCACCATGTCCTAAAGAATTGACTAGAATGCTCCTAGACCTCAAGCCCTGCATGCAGAGCTCAGCAGCTTGGAGTGACATGCAGGACCCAGAAACTTGCTCCTCTGAGTAAAATGATGAGCAAAGGATTTCACAGAACAGACACAGAGGGCACGAATTGGGTGTGGTCTGAGGACAAAGTGGAGCCTAAGCTTTCGACTTAAAGGAGACACCCTTTCCTTCAGATGGTCTGCAGGTTAGATCTGTTCACATGCCATCTGTGACCCTGGGCTGTTACCAGGGCCTTGCTACCGTGCTCACTATGTATACTTAACAATGGGAAAGTTAAAGGATGTAATTTTTCTAAGGGACGTAAACAGTTTCAAATTCCTAATTGAAAACAAAAGCAAAGAAGTTCACCTGGAGGGAGGGAAGGGTCCAGTTAGAGCAGCCTTCCCCCAGCTCCCCAAGCGGGCTGGAGGAAAGTGCAGTCTGTCACATCAGCGCCCTGTATGGGGGGAACATCTCAAGCAGAGACTCTCACTGACTGGGGCATTGAGCCCCCGCCACCCATCTAACCAGTTCTAGCTCACTAAGTGTGCACCATCAACCCAGCTTCCAAGTCTCTCCTCTGCAAAACGCACAAAACCCATCTTTGAAGGCATAATCCTCAGAGTGACTTC